CCTTGGCTCTACCCCATGGGAATCTGGTGGCGTTCCTGGAGCTGGAAACCTAAAATAATATGAGGAAGTCCCTAAGACTGTGGCCGCCGACAGTTTCTCTCTCACACTAGTCTAAACTCCACTTCCAGCAATTCTTTGAAGTTACTCCTTACGTGTTTCTAACCATTGTGCGGCTCTTGGAGCTTCTGCTCCCAGTCAGGAGATCTCCACTGTGATTCCCTGCATTCCCCCGTCTTTCCAGATTTTGGCTGGTGGTTTTCCCACTAACCTTAATTCTCTGATAGATCCGAGAAAACTTATTGACGTTCAGTCTGTCTAGGTTTTTCTTGTGGTAAGATGGGGGTGATGACTTTCAAGCTTTTTACCTGTCAGAGCTACAACCAAAACTCATTCCTATTTTTAAAAATTCCATCACTTGAAATATCAGGAAATGGAGGCTCACTGTGGTTAAATGCGTGGCTGAATTCTTGTAACTAACTCCTAAGCAGGTACTCTTCCCTTTACCATCCTGCCTCTGGTTGCTATTAACACATCTCACAAAATCAGCCTGGGGAACAGTGTGTGGGCAAAGCATATGGCAGAGCAGAGGGTGTGGCAGGAGAAGCAGGTGCACTGCTTTGGAAAAAAACAATACATTGAGATCTTGTAACAGAGAGTGCACATTAACAGCTGAGTATTGGCTTTAGGTTTACAAAAGGGTTCAGAAAAGGATTCTTTTATTAATAAACTGCTTTCACTGTGTGTGATTGAAAATTTTAAACTATTATATATTATATCAATATCTTTTGAATGCATTCAGAGTTCAACTCATGGTACTGAACACTCACTACGTATCAGTCACCGTGCTAGAAGTTCTCACGGGGAAATGTTTTTGAATTCTAGTAACTTTGGAGATAGGTTCCCACCTTCAGTGTTTCCATTTTGCAGATTAGGAAAGCATGGTGCAGAGAATATTTAAGGAGCTTATCCTTGACATGAAAAAAAAACCCCAAAAAACTAGTGAGGTTGGATTCTAGTCTCCACTCTGCAACTAGTTAGTTATATAACCCTGACTGAGTTTTTTAATCCCTCTGAACTGTATTTCACAAAGGGGATAAAAAATAATTGTCTTCTGGAGTAATTTAGATAATGTATAAAAAAACACTTATCACAACTTAATAATAACTAATTTATATGTAAATATTTATATATAGTAATTTATATACAAATCTGTTACTATAGGAATTATAATTAAAATGTTATAAATAATAATGTTACTAATAAACTGATAGAGATTATAAAATTGAATAATAGAAATAAACTGTATTATATGGCCCCTTGTAGAAAAGAGGCAAGAACTTCATGAATCTTATAAATATGTTCAAAACTCTCTGTAGTTCTGCTAGATGTCACATGATCTTAGATGCCAAGAGAAACAATGTAAAAGTTAGGTTTTCCCTGGATGATAAGGCTGTTCAATTCAACATTTGTGGAAACATGTCCTTATCAAATTCCATCCCAAAGATGTTAAATTGAGGGGTGCCTGGATGACTCAGTCGGTTGAGTGTCCAACTCTTCTTGATTTCAGCTCACGTCATGATCTCATAGTTTCGTGAGTTGGAGCCCCACATCGGGCTCTGCACTGGCAGCTCAGAGGCCTGCCTGGGACTCTCCCTCTCTCTCTCTGCCCCTCCCCCATTCTCTCTGTCTCTGTCAAAATAAATAAAAATAAACTTTCAAAACAAAAGATGTTAAATTGAAGAGTATGTCAGGTGCAGGGTTTTTTTGATACAGTTCATGCAGAGTACAATAAGAAAGCTGGAAACTAGTGCTGGAATCAGCTATTATTGCTCTGGAAACCATTTCCAAATTCAATGGTTACAGATTTCACCACGAGTTCCTGAAATGGCTGTGTTCTGATGACTGGCTCTGGCAGTGAACTCTTTAGAAGAAATGCAAAGTATGGGGCAAATCTGAGGCAGCAGTATGGGAAAGATCAGCCTCACATGCTGGCTCTCAACTTGAGCCAAAGATTGTCAACAGAGACATGCAGGGAAAAGGGGCTACTCCACCCATTCCTTTGGGACAATGCATAATATAGATTGACCAGTGGGCAAAGAAGTAGGAAATATTCTAGAGGGTAACCGTGATTATGAGCTAATCTAGCAGAGTCCCAATAGAGCTACCATGAGACCAAAATCTGTCCTTGACCACTGTGGGCTATCTTCATTTGGGTTCCCGGCTTTGTTAAAGTGCCAGGCAGGATCACTCTAACAGAAGCCACTGGGGTGCCTGAGTGGCTTAGTCGGTTAGGCATCTGACTTGGGCTCATGTCATGATCTCACAGTTCATGAATTTGATCCCTGTGTTGGGCTCTGTGCTGACAGCTCAGAGCCTGGAGCCTGCTTCGGATTCTGTGTCTCCCTCTCTCTCTGCCCCTCCCCCACTCACACTCTGTCTCTGTCTCTCAAAAAATGAATGTTAAAAAAAAAAATTAAAAAAAGAGAGGCCACTATCACAGTCATCTGGTCACCTCCAAGGGGATCCTTAGGACCACAGAACCCCTCTTGGTAGCTATAAAATAGAGGACCTGTGTGATAGAAGAACACAGAAACAGCAACTTTGGGGAGAAGTGGGGTGACTAAGGGAGTCCAGTTGTTGGTGAAGGATGGGGTGCAAGTGAAAGTAACAAGCCTGGAAGTTATTCCAGGCAGCACAGCTTATGTAGTGAGCAATAAGAAACAATTTGGGAAGAACCCTCCAGCTAACCAACAGTTGTTGAGCTCAAGGATGTCTGCCTGGGACCAGTGTAGCCTGATTCATTAAGGGTTAGAACCTCCAATGGCAACAAGTCCTTCAAGTGGCCTCTGATCCATGGGCAGGTATATCTGTGGCTAGGTAGAGCCATTGTGTGAGCTCCACATTGACTGATGTGGTGATACACATCTTCAGAGAGTTGACAAAGGGGCAATTTCTTCAAATACAAGACAAGGACATAGTCTTTTTTGGGATAAGCCGCCTCGAAAGTCATCAAATAAAAATGGTGTTGGAGTAGTGGGGTATAATGCAGGTCAGGTGGCTCATAAGGCATTTCCTTTCAAGGGCAGGGGGTTTTCTATGCAAAATCTGTACTTATGTTGCCATGGAAACTGGACATGTTTTAAAATATCTAATCCAGAGATAATTATCAGTTATAAAGGAATTATGGAACAGGGCTATGAATGGTTTCCTTAAGAATTCAGGTTTCTTCTTGGGGCGCCTGGGTGGCGCAGTCGGTTAAGCGTCCGACTTCAGCCAGGTCACGATCTTCTTCATGGTCCTGAGAGAGTTCAGCCCCCAAGGCTGGGTTTCTGGCTGGATGGCTCAGAGCCTGGAGCCTGCTTCCCTCCCTGAAGCCCCTGTGTCTCCTCTCTCTGCCCTCCTGCTCATGCTCTGGTTCTCTCTCTGTCTCCAAAAAATAAATATAAAAACGTTGAAAAAAAAAAATTAAAAAAAAAAAGAATTCAGGTTTCTTCTTACTTAAGGACTCCAGAGATTCTGTATATTAGGTTATTTCCATTTTGCAGATAAGAAAACCATGGTTAACATATATTACGGAGGTTTTCTTTTGTATAAGTGAATAACTAATGAAATTTTATTCTAGTCTTTTTCTTTTAAAAACAATTTGTTCAAGTGCAATATAGAGGATGTTTATTAAAAATTTTTTTAAATGTTTATTTTTGAGAGAGAGAGGGGAGAGAAAGAGAGAGAGAGAATGAATGAGTGGGGGAGGGACAGAGAGAGCGGGGACAGAGGATCTGAAGCGGGCTCTGCGCTGACAGCAGAGAGCCTGAGGAGGGGCTTGAACTCCTGAACCTCTAGATCATGAAGGCACCAAAGTCGACATTTAACTTTCATAGACTGGAAACACCCAGGCAAATCTCAGGGGATGATATATGTTTATTTTAATTGACAAGACAGCACTGGCATGGCAGCAAATGTGTTTGCTTAAAAAAAAAAAAAAAGTATGTCCCTTTCTAAATAAAATGTTCAAATTGTCTAAACTTAAACAGTATGCAGAATTCAAAAGGGAATAATTTTTGTGATGGTTAAAAATGAAATACAATAAAATACTGGTCTAAGCCAGCATTTCATACATCACAGATAAGTCTTCTTATACAGTGACAAGTCCAAGACCCAGAACCATGTAGTGTTAATTGAGGACTTTCTTCCTGTGCAACATACTCAAATCTAAATGACTGATTCTCAAATGTGGTCTCAGACCAGTAGCATCAGCACCACCGGAGAACTTGTTAGACATGCAAATTCTTGGGCCCCTATTCAATCCAGGACTTTGGGGGTGGGACCAGGAAATCTGATTAACAAACCGATTCACCTCTCCAGGTGATTCTGATGCACCTTAAAATTTGAGAACCACTGCTCTTAAACATTGCAGTAGGAAGGTCTCAGGTCCAACATGGCCTGAGCTATGATTCTGAGCCCATGAGATGGCAAAGTTCCAGGGGACTTTGCTCGAGTGGGATTAGTGTATGAAAATGGGATCAAACTCTACTGATGAGGTCAGTGCAATGTTGGCATCAACACATTTCCATAGATATGCAAATTATCAATGCCAAGAGAGTTTATTGCTCAAAGTTAGCCTCAATCTTCTGTTTCTGCTATTCCTAATCCTCCTTTTCCTAGGGCATTGGCAGAAGTTGCTATTGCTAAAGGAAAATGGGTTTACTTAAACCAGGGATTCTTGGTCTTGTTACTATTGACATTTTATCGCGAAGAGCTGTCCTGTGCACGTTTAGTGGCCTCTGTGGCCTCTACCCACTACAAACCAGAAGTAATTCCCATCCTCCTCTCCCTTCCCACTAAGGCGTGACAATCAAAAATGTTTCCAGATGTTGCCAAGTATCGCCTGGGGGCAAGACTACACCTCGTTGAGAACCACTGACTGAAACCAAAGCATTTCCTTCAAGGGAGGGATGTGGCAGGAAGAACAGGATTCCAGAAGTCCCCCTGGGGCAACTCACATTGTAGGACCGGCCATGCCTCTGTCTCCACTGTACCAGCACTATCTGGGCGATGACCAGTGCGCAGAGGAAGATCAAGATCATCTCCACATGCATGGACTCATGGCCCCGGTGCATCTTGTACATCCTTTCCTGCTGCAGGCTGGAACCAGCAAATGAGGTCATCTGAAAAAGGCCTCAACCCTTGCACAGTATATTTAGGAAAAAAAAAAAAAGTTTGGGCTCATAGAAAGCAATTGGAGGTTTCAAATGTAGGGGGTTTTAAGCTTTGATTATAGTTTTCCTGGTTGTTTTTTTTAATTAAAAACAATTTTTTTTTAATTTTTCCTTTTCTCCCAGGCTTGAAGAGGGGGCAATGGAGAGGAGGAACCTGAGTTCATCAGGGATACTGATTCCTCTCAGCCCTTAGCTTGCCTGTGTGGTTTTGGCCTCAGCCTTGTCCTTTCAAGTTAAGGGATGGGGCTGAAAAAATCACTGATGGGCTCTGGACAGACCTGCATACCAGTCCCATCGCCACACAGACTTGTGAAAGTGACTCATCCTCTCTGCAGCTCAGTTGCCTCCTTGCAAACTTAAAATAATGGCCCCTCGGTACTTCACAAGATTGTTCTCGAACTGCAAACCCCATGTTATTTTATTTGTTCTTAAATAAGGAATAATAATTATTATTAGATTATAATAAACTATGTAATATATAACATATAACCTATAGATTATTATATTAGATTAAATAATATGAAATTTCCATTTTCGAAAGTCAAAATAGTAAAATATGGTAATTTCAAGTAATTTTTAATATTTTGAAGTAAAAGGATATCCTGCAGATGGTGCTAATGGAGAGAATGTTATCCAAAGGCCTCCAGAAAACTCCTGAGTGAGCCGTATAATTTTTTTTTTTTTCATTATAAGGAGAAAGAGGAAGTCTAAGTATTATCTTAGGCGGGCATATTTAGATGATGGCTGAATGTTTCAGTTTTTAGTTGGACTCTTGGTTTTGCATAACGGTAGAGAAAACACTGTAACAGTATGTCATCTGGTTTAACTTCCTATAGCAGAAGTGGCTTCAAAGAAAGCTTAGAGCAGTGGATCTTGATGTTGCTGTAAATTGGAAATCACTGGGGAGTTTTAAAAGTCTCAATGTCCAAGCTGTGGCCAGATCAATTAAATGACCATTTCTGTGTGCTATGGGCTGAACTGTGGGCTTCCCCACATTCATATGTTAAAGTCCTACCCCCCCTTCCCCACCAGTTACCTTAGAAGGTGACTGTATTTGGAGATAGGAACTTTAAGGAATAAGGTTAAATGCTGTCACTGGGTGGGCCTAATCCAATCTGACTGGTGTCCTTAGAAGGAGATCCGGTTATAAACTCACACAGAGGGAAAACCATATGAAGATGCAGTGAGAAGGCGGCCATCTGCAAGCTAAGGAGAAGTGTCAGGAGAACCCAAATGTGCTGACACCTTGATCTGGTGTCCCCAGAACTGTGAGGAAGTAAATTTCTGTTTAAACCACCTGGTCTGTGGTACTTGTTATGGTAGTTCAAGTTCCCAATGTGATTTTAAGATGCAGCCAAGATTGAGAATCACTGGGCTAGAGGAAGAGAGAGCAGTCCAGGGTCAAGATTAGGGCAACAGGGAAAATTATGAATGTTGCCAATCAAGTACTTTATAAATAGTGATTAGCATTATCTTTCATCCCCAGTGGGGCACCATGAGTCACAAAATCTCTTGAAGTTTCTTTCCACTTATGACTAGATATGGTGTGAATTTAGTGTGCACATCAGAAAACACTGCAGAGCTGTGTCTGGGTGGCTCCGTTAAGCGTCTCTTGATTCGCTCAGGTCGTGATCTCACAGTTTTGTGAGTTTGAACCCCGAGTCAGGCTCTATGCTGACAGTGTGGAGCCTACTAGATTCTCTTTCTCTGCCCCACTCATGCTCTCTCAAAATAAATAAATAAACTTAAAGAAAACCCCACAAACACTGCAGGGTAATACTCTGTGCCATAAGATTGTAGCCTTTTAAAGGCACCCCTTGGGTATGTGGGTTGGGTTCTTCCCCCTTTACTAATAATTTATTTTTTTAAATTTTTAAATATTTATTTATATTGAGAGAGAGAGAGCAGGGGAGGGGCAGAGAGAGAAAGAATCCCAAGCAGGCTATACTGCCAGCAGAGAGCCTGATGCAGGGCTTGAACTCACACGAAACATGAGATCATGACCTGAGCCCAAATCAAGAGTTGGACGCTTAACCTTATGGGAATGAGCCATCCAGGAGCCCCTTTACCATAACTTCTACAGCTACTCTAACGAGTAGAGAAGTACTAGGTGCCTCAGAAAAGGGCACTGAGGGTGCCCCCTGCTGGAGAACGTGTAGAAATGATCCTGTAGAGCCTAGTAAATCTTACCTGAGGTCAGCCTCTTTGAGATGGAATCTTAGAACGTTAATGCTGGAAGGTACATTAGACGTACTGAAACCCCTACACTCATCAAATGAAGAAGATGAAGTCCCTATCAGGTAAACAACCTGAATAAAATTACATTGGTAATAGTCTTTGTGTTGGAAGCGAACTTAAGAAACACAAATGATTTCCAGAAGCTCATTAAAAAATACACTTGCTCCTCTGAAGAAATGGGAAGTGAAGAAAAATAAAGGGGTACAAGAACTTATAGTTTTTACAGGCACAACAGCAAAATAACTATTTAATATTCTATTTAATGAAAAGACTTTCAACTTAGGCCATGTAGATAGCAGAGTGAATTTATCATCAGCCTAAAATAAGACTTGCATGGATATAAAACAAAATATGCTTTGTGACATTTATCTATTATATATATAATTATATATAATGAAAACACTCATTATATCATTATAGATAATGAAAACATCTCAAAATAACCTATGTGGATGTACTTTGAAGGTATCAAGTAGTATGCAAATGTAATAAGTATTTCCTATTTTGATTAGGAATACATTCATAATTGATTACCATAATGCAAAAAAGGAGGAATTTTTCATTTTTCATTTTTTTTGGTGCCCACAGGGCCCTACTGGCCCCATAGTAAGTACCAGAACACAGGAGAAATAGCATATAAAGAAAACCAGATGTATCTTGTGCCTATAATAAATACTAACTTGACACTGTCCTATGTTGAAGGACATATAAACCCAGCTTTGTGGGACTGCATGAATCACACTGTAAGAAACAGATGAAATCCTTGCGGTTTGGTTTATCCTATCTTTGTGCATGCATGCTAAACTAACCCACCTTCTGTGCCCCGAGAAATTTACAAATAAATGATGGCTTTGTTTGATTTCTCAAACTGTTAAGGTGAAAATGTAATTTTTAGTTAAAATGTAAGTTTAAACAATTAAAAAAATTCTAATCACTTACTTCCATTCATCATCCGCAGAAAGCTTTGTGTGAGAGATCTGAAAAAAACAAAAAGAGCCCTTCTCAAAACTTCTTCATTTTTTCAGCTTGTATTTTACAGCATTACATGGGAAACTCAAGCCATGAAAAACAGTGATGTTTCCTAGTACTACAATAACTTACGATGAAAACCCAAATAGAATATTTGCTTACTGAACTAAGACACACACACACACACACCAAAAGAGTAATTAAGTTACTGTTAATAAATATTTGATTCTGCTCCTGTCAGAGAATCAGATGAGCCTCCATTCCTGTAGTTTATTTGGCAATTCAGTTGAGGTTGTAGACAGTGGCCTCCCAATAAGCAGTGTCCCCTTGGCTTTTGGGATATGATATGTAAATCCTGTTGCTGGTGTCTTAAATGATGCCAATGAGTAAATATCACCAAGTTCAAGGTTTTAGAGACCGAGCTGACCAGAGGCTCGACTTGTTTGGGGCATCTTTTGTGTCCTCCTGTTAATTTAATTTAAAGCCTGGCCCCAGGGAAGAGGGTACTCTGGCCTTGCCCTTGCAGACTGAGCTTGAGAACACAGAGACCAGGAAGTGTTTTCGAATGACCTACAGATTGTAGGCACGTGCTGCCTTCCCTTGATCACTACTAATCTATTACATTTGGTCATTTGAAACCTTTAAGGCAATCTTTGGAACAACATAATCTTAAACTTTCATGGAGAGCACAGACAGCTTAATCCCTAGTCCTATATGTTAAAAGCTAAAATCCCCAATGACAGCAAAGAAGGGAATGCAAATAAGACATTTGTTACACAAATCTGATATTAAGTAGGTGTTTTTTCTATATGTTTTATTCAAATGGCACCAGCAAATCTGACACATGGAATAAAAAAATAATGCCATCCATTCAATCTAGGATTTCTCTGACTTGGGGTAAACAGGTTTCATAATAAAATCTGTGCTTCTGCCACAAGATTGAGGGGTTCCCTTAGAAGAGAGAATAACACAGCTAAGTACAGGCTTAGGCAGTATTTGCACAATGCCAGGACTTGCCAGATAATGCCAGGAAGGAGGATAATGCCAGGAAGGAGGAAATGGGTGAAGTAGCAGGTGATGCTGGCAGCTTCTCTATGGTTCCCTGCTTCTGGGTGATCCCATCAGGGGTCCCTGATATTCAAATGGTGGTCAAAACAACTGGAGAGCCTCAGGAGGTCCACTGAGAGGGCTAGTTGAATCTTTAGACCCCAGGGTTTCCCCAGCCCCATCTTCTCTTAGGCAAAGTGAGGTATCTGGCTTGGGGCTGGGCTGGGGCAGGCAGAGACAGTAGGGGGAAAAGGCACAGTGCTTGTGCATTCACTCCAGCCCTGGATGTGTCCATTTACTGTGCCTCTCTTTCCCACAACCCTTCACCCCACATTTGGGGCCAACAGGGAGTCAATGGGGCACAATCACTTTATTACTGTGGGCAGAGGACCCTGGGTGCCTATGGGCTGGGGGTTGGGACACATGGGATGGGTTGGGAGGTGGCCCTTGCACTCTCCTGCTTCTGGCTATCCCCCCATTGCAGGGCTGAGGGCAAGAAGCAGCATCCCTGGGGTTGGGGAGAATAAGACCCTCTGAGCACTGGGATCTTCCAGGAGCATGAGGACATTACTGCTCGTTGCTGAGCTCCTGCCTACCACCTGCCAGGAGAGTCCACCATTGGTTTCTGAAAACAGCTGAAAGTTGTTGCCTCTGGGGAGTGAAAATCAAGAATGGGGAAGATGGAGTGGTGATGG